CAGAAATCCTCATTTTCCAGCCCAAAGTCCACATTTTCCAGCCCCAAATATTCCCTGTTAGTTGCTCCACATGAACAGACAGAAAAGGGGGAATTTTGAACCCCCATTTTTTTCTTAAAAGTCAATAGGAAAAAACCACATTTTGGGAGTTAATGTCCTTGTGGGATCCAATGCTGGAACTTTGTGGCTCCAAAGAGTCAGAATGATGGGAATGGCACTTCCAGAGGTGCCAAAACCCCCCAAAATCCCAAATATTCCCAAGAAAACTATGGTTTCAGCTTGAGCCAGGGGTGCAGGATGGTGACGATGGAGAGCAGGGATGAGCTGAGCCCACAGAACCCCACATTTTCCAACCCCAAATCCACATTTTCCAGCCCCAAATATTCCCATTAGCTGGATCCATATCAAAGGCTCTTCCCTGACAGAAAGGGGGAACATTGAACCCCTAAAATTGCTGTAAAAATCAATGGGAAAAAACACATTTTGGGGAGCTGATGTCCCTGTGGGATCCAATGCTGCATCGAATGCTGGAACCTCATGGCTCCAAAGAGTCAGGAATGAAGGGAATGGCACCAACCAGTCACTTCCAGAGGTGCCAAAACCCCCCAAATTCCCAAAAATTCCCAAGAAAACTACGGTTTCAGCTTGAGCCAGGGGTGCAGGATGGTGACGATGGAGAGCAGGGATGAGCTGAGCCCACAGAACCCCACACTTTCCAACCCCAAAATCCCACATTTTCCAGCCCCAAATATTCCCATTAGCTGGATCCATATGAAAGGCTCTTCCCAGACAGAAAGGGGGAACATTAAACCCCCATTTTTTCCCTATAATTGCTCGAAAAGTCAATGGGAAAAACCACATTTTGAGAGTTCATGTCCTTGTGGGATCCAATGCTGTCACTCCAAAGAGTCAGGAATGAAGGGAATGGCACCAACCAGTCACTTCCAGAGGTGCCAAAACTCCCCAAAATCCCTCAAAAATCCCCAGAAAACTACGGTTTCAGCTTGAGCCAGGGGTGCAGGATGGTGATGATGGAGAGCAGCGACGAGCTGAGCCCACACAACCCCACATTTTCCAGCCCCAAAATCCCACATTTTTCAACCTCAAATATTCCCTGTTAGTCGGTCCATATGAAAGGCTCTTCCCAGACAGAAAGGGGGAATGTTTAACCCCTATTTTTTTCCCTAAAATCCCTGGAAAAGTCAATAGGAAAAAACCACATTTTGGGAGTTGATGTCCTTTGT